ATCGGAACTTCAAACGCACTCCGACATGCATACCGTGAGTACTGGTGGCTCGAGCACAGCACCGGTCGTCGTTTGGTTCCAACGGTTCTATTCTTCTCTAGTCGGTTTGTTGGCAGACGCAGCTCGGTGACGTGTTGAGTCATACGCTTTCTGCTTTCTTTCCTGGAGTGGTGTGGGTGGGTGGAGGGTTCCTAGGATGCTACGTCTAAGCCTCCCTTAGGCGACTCGGGTTTCCTTAAGCCTCTTCCATTGCTTCCGGGTGGAAAGCCTTGTACTGCAAAGCCCCTGCCAGGTGCTCTTGGTGGGTGATAGCCGGCAAACAGCTTCCCACAGTGATTCGGTCTTGCTTAGATAGCACGCAGTGTGAGTCGAGTCCTGTCATGCGGAGGTGTTGGCGCGCTCTTCGTGTGTCGGGTTTCCCTTCCAGCGGTCGGTTGTAAGTGCCTGGCTCTGTGCAATTGCAAGGGAAATGCTCTGTGGGATCTGGCTTAGCATCGAGGTCTTGACGGTTGAGAGTGGGAGCCATTCGGTGACTGATCGGGAGCAGAAGCAACTTGGAGCATTTCATCCTGACGTTGCTGACGTGCTTTTCTGGGAGGTTCCTGTAGCCTTAAGGGGGAGCTTCTGCTTAAAGCCTTTCGTTCTGCATTTGCCCTGTCAGGTGCTGTGTGGAGCGACCGATAGCTGCCGTAAGACTCTGGTGGCGAGCGCTGCTGGGGGCGTGGGTGGCTGGGCGCTGGTTCTGACCTGGTTGGTATCAGCACTTCATCTTCTGCAGGCTCCTCGGCTTCGCTTGGGGGGCTCGTGGGCCAAACTTTGTGGAGGGAACTTCGCAGGGTGGTTCCCGTCCTATATCAGAAGCAGCTACGTGTGTGCGCGAAGGCAGTAAGGAACAAAGACTAGGAACGGTAGGTGGTAACCGAAGCGTGGCAGCAGCCAAGGTGATGGTGGCGAGCAGCAGCTGTGCAGTCGAAGGCTTGAGCACAAGGACCCGCGAGTTGCAGCCGAGAGAAGAGGTTTCTAAGACAGAGAAGTGAGACGAAGGCTAGGGAAGGTAAACAAGGACGAGAGCGAAAGAGAGCAGCAGTCTAGAGGGAAAGCTAGCCAGGAGAGACAGCAGCGAAGGTTGCAGGCTCCAGGTGGAACAGAAGACTTGGAACAGCAAGAGCGAGGAGCAGCAAAAGGCTTCACAGACAGAGAGGGACAGCTTACGCGAGCGAGGGTTGCAGTGTTCAGGTGGAGCGAGGGACGACAAGAAGACAGCTGCGAGGAAAGAGAGGTTGCAGGCTCCAGGTGGAACAGAAGACTCCCGAAACCAACAGCTAGCAGCAGCACAACGGTTCACGAAGAGGGACAGCTTAGAGAAGCGCAGGGTTGCAGTCTTCGGGTGGAGCGACGGACTAAGCAAAACAGCGGCGCGCGAAGACATGTTGCAGAGGTGAGGTGGAGCACAAGACTTTCGACAGCTTGGTGCAGACATGGTTGCGGAAGGGAGACTTTTTGAAAACGAGGGGGATCTCTTTGTGAGACGAAGTTGCGGCAAAGGCGCTTGAAGACCAATGGCTAAAATTTCCCAGAGAAGGGGGAACTTTTTCAAAAAATTCTGGCTGGAGGATTGGCTGGCGAAACTTTTTCGCGAAAGCAGGGGGATTTGTTTTCAAAGCTTTCGCGGCGTAAGGCGGGTAAAGGGCTACTGGCCACAATTTTCCCGGAGAAGGGGGAACTTATTCAGAAAATCTTGGCTTGAGGATTTGCTGGCGAAACTTTTTCGCGAAAGGAGGGGGATCTGTTTTCAAAGCTTTCGCGGCAAAGGCGGGTAAAGGCTACTGGCCAAAATTTTCTCGAGGAAGGGGGAACTCTTTCAAAAAATTCTGGCTGGAGGATTGCTGGCGAAACTTCTCGCGAAGGAAGGGGGATCTGTTTTCAAAGCTTTGGCGGCAAAGGCGGGTAAAGGCTACTGGCCAAAATTTTCCCGGAGAAGGGGGAACTTTTTCAAAAAATTCCGGCTGGAGGATTTGCTGCCGAGACTTTTTCGCAAAAGCAGGGGGATCTGTTTTCAAAGCTTGCGCGGCGAAAGTGGGTAAAGGCTACTGGCGAAAATTTTCCCAGAGAAGGGGGAACTTTTTCAAAAAAATCTGGCTGGAGGATTGGCTGGCGAAACTTTTTCGCGAAAGCAGGGGGATCTGTTTTCAAAGCTTTCGCGGCGTAAGGGGGGTAAAGGGCTACTGGCCACAATTTTCCCGGAGAAGGGGGAACTTATTCAAAAAATCTTGGCTTGAGGATTTGCTGGCGAAACTTTTTCGCGAAAGGAGGGGGATCTGTTTTCAAAGCTTTCGCGGCAAAGGCGGGTAAAGGCTACTGGCCAAAATTTTCTCGAGGAAGGGGGAACTCTTTCAACAAATTCTGGCTGGAGGATTGCTGGCGAAACTTCTCGCGAAGGAAGGGGGATCTGTTTTCAAAGCTTTGGCGGCAAAGGCGGGTAAAGGCTACTGGCCAAAATTTTCCCGGAGAAGGGTGAACTTTTTCAAAAAATTCCGGCTGGAGGATTTGCTGCCGAGACTTTTTCGCAAAAGCAGGGGGATTTGTTTTCAAATCTTGCGCGGCGAAAGTGGGTAAAGGCTACTGGCCAAAATTTTCCCGGAGAAGGGGGAACTTTTTCAAAACATTCTGGCTGGAGGATTGGCTGGCGAAACTTTTTCGCGAAAGCAGGGGGATCTGTTTTCAAAGCTTTCGCGGCAAAGGCGGGTAAAGGCTACTGGCCAAAATTTTCCCGGAGAAGGGGGAACTTTTTCAAAAAATTCTGGCTGGAGGATTTGCTGGCGAAACTTCTCGCGAAGGAAGGGGGATCTGTTTTCAAAGCTTTGGCGGCAAAGGCGGGTAAAGGCTACTGGCCAAAATTTTCGCCAAGAAGGGGGAACTTTTTCAAAAAATTCCGGCTGGAGGATTTGCTGGCGAAGCTTTTTCGCGGAAGGGGGATTTCTTACTGGCCAAAATTTTGCCCGAGGAAGGGGGAACTTTTTCAAAATTCTGTGTCGCGACCAAGGCGGGTAGAAGGCTACTGGCCAAAAATTTGCCGAAGATGGGGTGGGAATGGGCTGGGAGAACTTCAAAGTCGTGGGGTGGGTATGTGCTGTGTGTGTGTGTGCTGTGTGAGGTTAAAATTGGAACCTCTGCAACGGCTCCGCGGCCATCCTTTTCTCTGTGACTGGATTTTGTTTGAACATATTGAAAGTAGAGAAACAAACATCGCAACCAGCACGCGCAAGCATTGAGTGACAGCATTCTCTGCACCACCTCGGGCCCTTGCAGGATGGACCTGGCGCAGGCATTCCTCTTGCTTTTGGCTGTTGTGGTCCTCGAGGGAGTGAAACAGACGCTTGGCTGCAGTGTCGCGTCTTTCTGCTACGTCACCCCTGTTTCTTGCTTGGCATATCTGGCCTTGTACACTTCCAGCACCCCCTTATTCGCAGTTTAGGGGGGTCTACCCCCCTTCTCACCCCCGTTTCCCGCAGCATTCCCCCCCTGTTGAGTTTTTCACACACGCCACCGTCCTCTTCCATGTCAGTGAGTACAGGTCTGGTCCTTGCTGTGCAATTTTGGCTTCGTCCTTCTTGCTCTACCTGTCCTGCGAGACTTCCAGCACCGTCATCTCGCTACTTTAGGGGGGTCTACCCCCCTTGCCACCCCCGATTCTCCGAACCCCTTATGTTGAATGTTACTTGCACGCCAGCCTCCGGGTCCATGTCTCTGAGCACACGTCTGTTGTTTGCTTTGCGGTCTCGCTTCCGAGGCAAGTCTCTCGCCAGAGCTCCATCATGCGGACGTGCCTTGGAAGATTCCCTTAGTGAGCCCTCCTGGCCTTCCAGGTCCCGGTTGCCACGACACGGGTTGCCTGGCTAATGCCTGGTTTGTGACTTTGGTGTGCAAGACCAAAGAATCGTTGCGGATTGAAACGTTGTCAATGATTTTGACGAAGACATTTTCTCAAGGTTTCTTTTTCTAAGAATCGCCCAGAACGACCACGTAAAAGAAAAAACTCTTCTTTGCAAAAGGATTAGCGGAAGCAGCCGAAAACCATGTTGGACTTGCACAACCACACACTCATTGGGTTTCTTGCGTTGCACGTGCCTGTAGAAGCCGCTGTTGTAACCCTCCACCCATGTCGCCGACTTTGCACTCGCGCAGGATCCGAACACGGAGCAGAGCCTGTCTCTCGGCTTGCATCTTTACCACATGTCCAGGAAGATAGCATGTCACCCTGCGTATCTCTTTCGACTTTGAAGGGCGCCTTTTGCCGCGCCGTCGCTTTGTCGTGAAGCAACGGAACCCCGCAGGTGCTGACATCCTGCCTCAGCTGTTCTTCGCCTGTCTTGCCTTGCAAAACCTCGAGAAGTACCAGCAAGCAACGCTGTGTGAACGTGCACAAGCTTCTGTCTCTGGGCTTGCATCTTTGGCACATCTCCATCAGCAAAGGGCGTCTTCTCCTGCAACGCCGTTTTCCTTCTGAGGCGATCGGACAACTTTGCTGTCGCTCGACTCGCATCTTGAAGCCGTCCTGTCCAGTGAAGTTGCTTGTGGAGTCGCCTGCGCCTCTGCCGCGCCGTGTCTTTGTCGTCGCCGCTAAGGAACGGCAGAGCTGTGGACATCCTGCTTCGCACTCGTCTTCGTCCAGGATGCCGATCTTCGGCCCAGGACAGGGTCCGCGCTTCAGGGGGAGGGCTCCCTCCCCCCTTTGACCCCCCTCCACTTTCCTGCTAGGACAAGGGCGGCGGCTGACCTGGGTGCTCTCTGTTGCAAAACCTCGACGAGTGCCAGATAGCATGTGGAGGTTTAAAACGAAGCGCTCATCTGTCCCTGCGACTGCCTGTACCTGCTTCCATGTGCGGCCCATGTCATGAAGCTACAGCCTACGTCTCCTTGTTCGAGAGCTTTCTTTCTGCACTCAAGCAGTTCTTAGCCGGTGACCTCTGACCATAATCTTTTGCTTGTCTTCTTCGGTCATGCCACGCCGCCCACGCCCAGCTGGTCTCACGTCCGCGACAGAGTGGGAGGCGTGGTGGCAACCCGCCTTGGCTGTTTGCTGCTGGCTCGCAAGACCCTTGGCAGAGGCCTCGAAGTCTTGTCGCAGCAGACGACAGTGCACGTCTTGTTCTGTCCTTGCTCCCTGTCCGCACCTGTGTCCGTGCCAGGTTTCTTGGCGCACGACGTGGGCGCAGCGCCTACAACAGCAGCGGGATGCTGCCATTCGTGCATGGCGCCACGTCCATGCCGGCGCGCAACACGACACCTGGACGAGTCGCCAACGCAATCTTCAGGACTGGCTGCGCTGGGGCAGCTGGGGAAGGTGTCCTTCGTGTGGTCTCTTCTACCAGCGCAAGATGCTGGAAGCGGAGGTCAGCCCCTGGGAAATTGCGCGTAGCTGCTGTTCTATGTTGCTGTCTCACTCACTCTCTCTCTCTCTCTCTCTCTCTCTGTCTCTCTCGCTCTGTGGCTTTCCTTCTTTCTTGGCTCTGCTGATAGAATTGCCTTCTCTTGGCTGCCGTTGCGTTGCTTCTCTCAGGTAGACCGCGTGGACTTACTGGGCGACAACGTCCGCCAGACCTGCCCCGGCTGCCGCGGCCAGCGGCTGAACCCCGCCAAGCCACCCAGGGTGCGCGACCTTCCACGGCCTCTCCGCGGCCTTTCTACGCGCCAGCAAGAAGCCCTCCGGCCCATTGCCGTACACCAAGGACAGCCCCAACAACACCCGCAAGGGTATCGCCGACGAGACACCCTCACTCGTCTCAGCTGGAAGCCCCAGAGCGTGGAAGCTGCCATTGCCGCCTCACCCCGAGCCGAGCGCCCGGAGCGCCCGGCATCCCCCTATACCGGCTGGCTCACCGCCCACAAGGCCGTGTTGGACAGAGGCACCACACCGGAGCACCTTCGCCTCTCGCTCGGAGCGCTCCTGGAGCCACTCCTGGAGACAGCCCTGTGGCCTCACCTCTACCCAACCAGAGCTCTTTGCGAATCCAACATGTATGCGCCGCAAGCTCATTGGCAACCGTTTCAGCCCCGGCGGCAACAACAGGACGCCGGCAACCCGGGCAAGGTGTCGGCGAAAGAGCTCTTTGTGGCAAAGCTCCAGTCGGGCATCGCAGACTATGCCGCCAACTACGAACTCCTGCAAGTGCAGTTTGACCGCCACATCATGAGGACGCTCCTGAGCTCCATGCAGGATGCGACCTCCGGCGGGTTGACGAGTGCCCAAGTCAACGAACATCGGCACTGGACAAAGCAGTATTGGGCCCGGCAGCATCGCTACCTCCTGGACTTAGTAGCTCAGCGTGGCCCTCCTCACCTTTTCCTCACTATTGCGCCACACGAGTTTGCCTTTCCCTGGCCTCGGTGGCTCGAGGAGCTGCACGCCAAGAGTGGCCTAGGGCCCACGCAACTGCCAGGGCCAGAGTCCCTGTGCATCGCGCACGCCCTGCGCGAGTTTTGCGGGGCCTACTTGGCAGGTTTCGGCCCGAAGAAGCGGTGGCGAGGCAACCTCTTCAGCAACAAGGTTGCAGGGCCCGACAATAACGTCGAGGCCTACCTCGGCCGCTTTGAATTCCAAGACGGCAGCAAATCCCACCACTACGGCAAGGGAAGGGGGTCCTTGCACATACACCTCCTCTTCTGGTTCCGCAACTTTCGGGCCACCTTCGTGGAAGACACCATTTGCGCCGAACTGCGGCCCCGCGACGCGGAACTCACTACCTTGGCTCAGACCATACAGCGCGGCATTGAAGGTGCCAGGAGCCGTGCCAACGTCCGGGAGGAACCCTCCCAGTGGCAGTACGATCGAGGCAGCGCCAAGTGGCAACTGCACCTGCGGCATACCTTGGACTTTGCCGCCCAGGCCCTCCGGCCGTTCCTGGTGCCAGTGCTACGCCTCTTTCGTTGCCACTCGGACGTACAGTGGTGGGACGCCAAAGGCCAGCTCCTCCGCTATGTCGTCGGGTACGTGGCCAAGTACTCCGACGGCAATCAGGCTTGTCTGATGGACACGGAGAAGACCCCGTGGGGGGCAGCCTTGGCGCTACTGCGGGGGTGGCGAGCGGGGGAAGCGGAGATGACCATGGTGCTGGCCCGGGAGCCCATGGTCTTCCACAACTTTGCAGCCAAAGAGTACTCCCCCCCGTGTACGGCAGCGCGGTGGTAGACCCGTCTTTGTACCTCTACCACCGGCGCGCAGCCACGGAGGAGAACCTCTCCCTGCTGGAATGGCTGCGGCTCTACACCGTTAGTGGTGCTCTGGAGGACCATTCCGCCAACGCCCGGCGCCGAACCATCAAGCAGCTGCTTTGCGTTGGGGTTCGGTACGCCCCCATGGGCTTGGACATTTTCTTCTGGCAGTGGACCCTCCTCCACTTCCCCCACCGCCGACTCACAGAGCTGCTCCCCGTCCACGACGACCCAGCCGGTCGCTCGCGCCATCGGTTCCTCGCTCGAGCTGTCGACTTGATGCCGGACACCTGGAGCGACGCCAGCTGGGCTCAGAAAACCTTGGAACTGCAAGGTCATCTAGGAGTCTTCGTGGAAAGTTGCCTCGCGCAATTGCGGGCCAGTCTGAAGCACATCGAGCTCTTGCGCAGCAAGCAGTTCCAGCCGAGCCCTGCGGCAGCCCCTGCGCGGCCTATCGACTACGATGCCTTATCCGAGCGGCAAGCCGCCTTCCTGCGCACCATCGAAGCCGATATGCAGCTGCGCCAAACAGCCCAGGACCAGGTACAGCAGGGCGAGGTGCCACATGTGGGCTACCAGCTGCGAGGGCGTGCCGTGGCCCGGTTTCTCACCGGCGGACCCGGCGCCGGTAAAACCTTCTGCATGAGGGCGTGCATGCAGACAATGGCGGAGCAAGGCCGCCGGGTGCTCTACGCGACCCCCACGGGCAAGCTTGCAGCCACCTTCGGCTCCTCCGAAGGGCCTGTGACCAGCACCACCATCCACCGAGCTTTCGGGATCCTGCCCAATACGCAGTCCGGCAGCTGGAGCCCACAAGACGCATTGGACTTTGATGCGTGGGTCATCGACGAAGCCAGCATGGTGTCGACGGCTATAGGGGAGCACATCTTCCGCCTCTGGCTTCGGGCCGAGAAAGTGCCCCTTCTGATTTTCTTGGGGGACTTCAAACAGCTGGCGCCGGTCACCCAAGAAGCCCAAGACGTCCGGTCCAGCGTCTGGCAAGCATTCGCCATACCATGCCGAGCGCCGAGCACGTGGCGAACTTCTTCGAACCCCTTCTCTTGGCCAGGGAGATCACACGGCCGCTCCAGGAGCTTTGGCGGCAACTGCCGAACGCCCTAGTCGTCACTGCCACGCAAAAGGCCGCGGCGCTGGTGAACCAACTCGGGGCTGAGATGTTTGGCCAGCAAGCCCTCGGGACCGCCGTCGTCTGGCCAACGACCGGCGCCGGCACGCCCCAGCCCCTACCGCTTTACGTCGGCACCCGCGTCCGGTTGACGCAGAACCTGGCGCTCGGGGCAGGTCTGGTGACAGGGGCCGAAGGCACGCTGGAGGCAGCGAGCGTGGCCGGGCTCGTGGTGCGGCTCAGCAGCCGAGCGGTGGAGACCATCTGGCCGGTGGCGCGGCGAGTGGAGGACACGGGGTTCACATGGATCTAGAGTCGAGAGCATGTGTGTCTGTGTGTCTCATGCCGGGAACGTGTGCACGCAGCCTTGCCCCGCAGGTGGCTGGTGGCAGCGTCGTGCGGAGCGCGTACGCCCTGAGCTACGGCTACGCTGCTACTGTACACCAGGTCCAAGGCCAAAGCGCTCCGGAGCTTGGCATTTGCTTCGATGAAGCTTTTGCACCTCCGGGTTGGGCTTATACCGCCGTGACCCGTGCCGTGAGTTTACACGGTCTGCGGGCTCTCGGCCGCCCTTCGGCGCAGCACTTTCGGCCGCGCACATAAAAAAAGGATCTAGCCTGGAGGGCCTGTGCCAAGCATTGCAGCCGCTGCCTCTTCTCTTGAAGACGAAGGGGGGTCTACCCCCCTCAAACCCCCGGTAGAAAGTGCGCACTTGGACTGGAAGAGCCTGCATGGGACACTTGCTTCTCGTTGCAGCCTCCTTTCCAGCTGTCAAGCTTCACTCGCTCCCTCTCCTAGTGTCTTCCCCACTGTCCAAGCATGGCGCGCCGCTCCGCAGCTTCTTCTTTCATCCCTGCTGCCGCCGAGGACAGCCGCGGCCGCCGTGCGTGGAAGGCCGGCGACCGCCTGTGGGATATGCACCTGCAGCCGCCGAAAATGCTTGCCAAGAACTTGGGGGCGGTGGTTTACAACGAAGAGGGCACGTCAAACGCGGGAATCCTTGGCCTCCTGAAGCCCGAGCAAGCATTCGACGCGAAGTTATTTGCAGCCGAGGCCGTCCGGGGAGAGCGCCACGAGCTCTTCAACCGGCCAGCGATTGGCCTCTCCATGCTGGTCGGTTCCTTGCATGCCACGATGATTAACCTGCAAGAAGGAGCCGAGGCTGGCATATTCAGTGCCACCTTTGCGAAGGAGTACTGCGAGCTGTGTGTGAAATACGAGATTGAGGAAGCGAACAAGATCTTAAACATCCAGGACCGCGACACGCGTGTGCTGCCAGGGGTCGAGCTTTCCCTAGGAGGGTAAAAGTAGCCGTGCTCTCCTCCCTGACAGGATCATCCGGATGTAGAAAGATCGCCCGATTCCGTGGCTCGAGCTGTCCGGCAAGTGCTGCGGTTCGGGCAAGCGGTGCATAAGAACTGGGGACGCCACGCAGACGTCCTGGCCCGCTGCGCGGGCATGTACATCGGCGGCCACTGGGGGCTCACGCTGGCAGCCAGTTTACAAGAAGGCTACCTCGCGAAAGCTGTCCAGGACGTCCAGCTCCAGAGTGAGGAAGGCAAATCCTCACATAAGACCCTGATCGAGGAGACCGTCACCGGCCGAACAATCGAGAAATTCTACACCGCCGCAGTGCTGGAGCGCCTGCAGAACCAGCGGCTCCGGGCAGCGCCCAAGGCCGCTGCCTCGAGCAGTGCGCGGCCTGCACTTATCGAGATGACGCCATCCCCGAAGAAACGGCGAGCAACGCACTCTGACAGCTACATTGCGCTGGAATTGGCGCTCAATGATCTGTGGCACTTTGAGGCAAGCGCGGGCAAGCAAGCGTTGAAGGACCTCGTCCGCAGCATCAATTCCCTCACGCCCGATGTGCAAGCAGAAGACCCCGAGGCCTACAACCAGCTTGTCCACTGGGATGTCGCCGCATGGGTGGCGGAATTGAAGGAGAATATGAGCACGGAAGCGGAGCAGGTGGAGGCCCCCCCCCAGAAGGCGAAGAAGCCGAGGAAGGCCAACAAGTGAGAACGGGCCGCGAGTCTGAGATATACCCAGGAGCCCGGAGCTGCCGGAGTGCGGCTCCGTGGGAACCTGCGGGCTAGATTAAGCTACAATCATCTTGAAGCGGCCGTGTCCCTTGCCGGCTAGACACACCGCCACAGATACCGCGAATGCGTAAAAAAAGATCTGGCCTGGGACGCCTGTGTGCCAAGGGCAGATCGTTGCAGTCTCTGCTTGATCTCTTGAAGAGGAAGGGGGGTCTACCCCCCTCAAACCCCCGGTATAGAGAGTGCGCACTTGGACTGCAATCATCGCGAGTGTGTCGGGAGATTGGGCTCTGAAAACCGTAGCTAGATCGCCATGGACTGGAAGAGCCTGCATGGGACACTTGCTTCTCGTTGCAGCCTCCTTTCCAGCTGTCAAGCTTCACTCGCTCCCTCTCCTAGTGTCTTCCCCACTGTCCAAGCATGGCGCGCCGCTCCGCAGCTTCTTCTTTCATCCCTGCTGCCGCCGAGGACAGCCGCGGCCGCCGTGCGTGGAAGGCCGGCGACCGCCTGTGGGATATGCACCTGCAGCCGCCGAAAATGCTTGCCAAGAACTTGGGGGCGGTGGTTTACAACGAGGAGGGCACGTCAAACGCGGGAATCCTTGGCCTCCTGAAGCCCGAGCAAGCATTCGACGCGAAGTTATTTGCAGCCGAGGCCGTCCGGGGGGAGCGCCACGAGCTCTTCAACCGGCCAACGATTGGCCTCTCCATGCTGGTCGGTTCCTTGCATGCCACGATGATTAACCTGCAAGAAGGAGCCGAGGCTGGCATATTCAGTGCCACCTTTGCGAAGGAGTACTGCGAGCTGTGTGTGAAATACGAGATTGAGGAAGCGAACAAGATCTTAAACATCCAGGACCGCGACACGCGTGTGCTGCCAGGGGTCGAGCTTTCCCTAGGAGGGTAAAAGTAGCCGTGCTCTCCTCCCTGACAGGATCATCCGGATGTAGAAAGATCGCCCGATTCCGTGGCTCGAGCTGTCCGGCAAGTGCTGCGGTTCGGGCAAGCGGTGCATAAGAACTGGGGACGCCACGCAGACGTCCTGGCCCACTGCGCGGGCATGTACATCGGCGGCCACTGGGGGCTCACGCTGGCAGCCAGTTTACAAGAAGGCTACCTCGCGAAAGCTGTCCAGGACGTCCAGCTCCAGAGTGAGGAAGGCAAATCCTCACATAAGACCCTGATCGAGGAGACCGTCACCGGCCGAACAATCGAGAAATTCTACACCGCCGCAGTGCTGGAGCGCCTGCAGAACCAGCGGCTCCGGGCAGCGCCCAAGGCCGCTGCCTCGAGCAGTGCGCGGCCTGCACTTATCGAGATGACGCCATCCCCGAAGAAACGGCGAGCAACGCACTCTGACAGCTACATTGCGCTGGAATTGGCGCTCAATGATCTGTGGCACTTTGAGGCAAGCGCGGGCAAGCAAGCGTTGAAGGACCTCGTCCGCAGCATCAATTCCCTCACGCCCGATGTGCAAGCAGAAGACCCCGAGGCCTACAACCAGCTTGTCCACTGGGATGTCGCCGCATGGGTGGCGGAATTGAAGGAGAATATGAGCACGGAAGCGGAGCAGGTGGAGGCCCCCCCCCAGAAGGCGAAGAAGCCGAGGAAGGCCAACAAGTGAGAACGGGCCGCGAGTCTGAGATATACCCAGGAGCCCGGAGCTGCCGGAGTGCGGCTCCGTGGGAACCTGCGGGCTAGATTAAGCTATAATCATCTTGAAGCGGCCGTGTCCCTTGCCGGCTAGACACACCGCCACAGATACCGCGAATGCGTAAAAAAAGATCTGGCCTGGGACGCCTGTGCGCCAAGGGCAGATCGTTGCAGTCTCTGCTTGATCTCTTGAAGAGGAAGGGGGGTCTACCCCCCTCAAACCCCCGGTATAGAGAGTGCGCACTTGGACTGCAATCATTGCGAGTGTGTCGGGAGATTGGGCTCTGAAATTCGTAGCTAGATTGCCATGGCGGGGGCTGCGGCAGGACCAGGGCGCGCGGCGACTCCGATGCAGCATAACCTGCTCTCTTGCATGCTACATGTCTGTGTCCTGCTCATAGAGCCAAGGCAGTGCTGCGAACCGCGCAGCAGCAGCGACGCGACTTCCCAGGACACCTTCCGACATGAACTTACTCAAGGGGGGGGGAAGAGTGTGAGAACGGAAGGACAGGTAACGGCGGTGATGTTATTTATGGAATCATTTTCAAAAACATTTGTGGAAACATTTCCAGAAATAAGAGTGCAATTCCTACGAAAACCCTAGTGTTTCGTGTGTTTCTTGTAGAAATCATTTCCAGAAATATTTGTGGAAATGTTTGTGGAAAATTTCCAGAAATAATTGTGAGAAAGCAAGGAAAACCGTGTGTTTCGTGTGTTTCTTGTAGAAATCATTTCCAGAAACATTTGTGGAAATATTTCTGGAAATGTTTTTGGCAACATTTCCAGAAATAATTGTGCAAAACCAAGGAAAACCCTAGTGCTTCGTGTGTTTCCTCTGGAAATCATTTCCAGAAACATTTTTGGAAATATTTCTGGAAATGTTTCCAGAAACATTTTTGGAAAAATCCAGGAAATCCCTCGGAACGTCTCTGTTTCTGCGGTCTCCAGGGGGGGGTCTACCCCCCTGCGACCCCCGCGCCTCTGAGAACGGATAGAAAGGTCACGGCGGCAGTGCTATTTCTGGAATCATTTCCAGAAACATTTGTGGAAATATTTCTGGAAACATTTCCAGAAATAATCGTGCAAAACCAAGGAAAACCCTAGTGCTTCGTGTGTTTCCTGTAGAAATCATTTCCAGAAACATTTCTGGAAATATTTCTGGAAATGTTTCCAGAAACATTTTTGGAAAAATCGAGGAAATCCCTAGGAACGTCTCTGTTTCTGCGGTCTCCAGGGGGGTCTACCCCCCTGCGACCCCCGCGCCTCTGAGAACGGATAGAAAGGTCACGGCGGCAGTGCTAGTTCTGGAATCATTTCCAGAAACATTTGTGGAAATATTTCTGGAAACATTTCCAGAAATAATTGTGCAAAACCAAGGAAAACCCTAGTGTTTCGTGTGTTTCCTCTGGAAATCATTTCCAGAAACATTTTTGGAAATATTTCTGGAAATGTTTCCAGAAACATTTTTGGAAAAATCGAGGAAATCCCTAGGAACGTCTCTGTTTCTGCGGTCTCCAGGGGGGTCTACCCCCCTGCGACCCCCGCGCCTCTGAGAACGGATAGAAAGGTCACGGCGGCAGTGCTAGTTCTGGAATCATTTCCAGAAACATTTCTGGAAATGTTTCTGGAAGCATTTCCAAAAATAATCGTGCAAAACCAAGGAAAACCCTAGTGCTTCGTGTGTTTCCTGTAGAAATCATTTCCAGAAACATTTCTGGAAATATTTCTGGAAATGTTTCCAGAAACATTTTTGGAAAAATCGCGGCAATCCCTAGGAACGTCTCTGTTTCTGCAGTCTCCAGGGGGGTCTACCCCCCTGCGACCCCCGCGCCTCTGAGAACGGAAAGAAAGGTCACGGCGGCAGTGCTATTTCTGGAATCATTTCCAGAAACATTTGTGGAAATGTTTCTGGAAACATTTCCAGAAATAATTGTGCAAAACCAAGGAAAACCCTAGTGTTTCGTGTGTCTCCTCTGGAAATCATTTCCAGAAACATTTTTGGAAATATTTCTGGAAATATTTGCAGAAACATTTTTGGAAAAATCGAGGAAATCCCTAGGAACGTCTTTGTTTCTGCAGTCTCCAGGGGGGGTCTACCTCCCTGCGACCCCCGCGCCTCTGAGAACGGAAAGAAAGGTCACGGCGGGCAGTGCTATTTCTGGAATCAGGGTTTAGGGTTTAGGGTTTAGGGTTTAGGGTTTAGGGTTTAGGGTTTAGGGTGTGTCGAATCAACTGTTGCGGTAAAAAGAATGCAAGACGGACACTAGAGTTTTTTTGCATAAGCGAGTTCGTCACGTCCATGGACCTCGCTATAAATCCTTCCACAACCCACCCGGAGCATTTGTCCTTAGCTTAAGTCCTAAGCGTCTAACACGAAGGAAATACCCATGCAGCTACAGGTATGCTGACAGTCCTGAATCGCTATGAACGAGCGAAAACGGTTTCAAATCACATGCAATCCAAAGCCATGATGCTTGTACCATTGTCGATTCACACACCTAAGAAAATCAGTGAAACATGGCGTTTCTCACCTTTGCGCCGCAATGCTAGGATGTACGATCGCTAAACGCTAGAAGAACATGTTCCTTCTGCGTATGCACCGCTCCAGAAACAACACAAAGAAGGCATCGCCTGAATAGCTGCAAGTGCGGTCACGCCCATCGCTTTAAGATAGCATAGTTTTGTCGATAAAGAGGAAGGCAACACTGCCCAAACCAGTTAAGCTGCGGTGACGCCATCGCCATCGCATTACGATAGCAACCACAGGTATCGAATTCGATTTCATGTCTTTCAATGTTACACTGCGCCCATGGAAAGTCGTGGATCAGAGGGGCACGAAAGCTCAAGGCGAGACGTGGAGGCAGCGCATTGAGCAACTAAAGCCAGAAGGTAACCTCATGAAGCGGTTTCGTTTTACTGTATTTTACAGAAGCAGGTAGGTTTCGGTTGATGCGGTGCTGACGCTACAGTGGAAGGGCGGAGAGAGGGAGGGGGGGGGGTCGGGCAGAAAATATTTAGTTGAGCAGCAAACGCGCGCGCGCGCGAAAAGATCTTTGGCTTCGTTGCTGGTGAAGGGTTGTCGCTGAACGGTCATCGCAAAGAAACTTGACAGCTCTGGTTGCTATCGTAAAGCGATGGCGTGACCGCAGCACTTCAAAACCAAACCATACCAAAGCAGTTCTTATCTCTTTGCAGACAAGAACAAAACGCACATAGACGTCACCGATGTGTGTTTTGGATTGGCCAGATTTGGCCACTTCAAAAGCAAACCATACCAAAGCAGTTCTTGTTTCTTTGCTGACAAGAGCAAAAAGCACATAGACGTCACCGATGTGCGTTTTGGACTGGCCAGATTTGACACACCAAAACCAAACCCTAGCAAAGCAGTTCTCGTCTCTTTGAAGACAAGAGCAAAACGCACATAGACGTCACCGATGTGCGTTTTGGATTGGCCAGGGTTGTTGCTGAACGGTTATCGCAAAGAAACTCGACAGCTGTGGTTGCTGTCGTAAAACGCTTGCGTGACCGCAGCTCCAACTGTTTCAAGCAATTAAATGGCCCTTGCTTGGAAGTGCGTTGACATCACTTTATTTAGGCGGATTTTAGTTGAGCAGCCACCCATGGTTGAATCGAAATCCCTTCTGAATTGTTATCGGGCAGCCATTCACGTCCAGGTTGACGTCGTGCTACGGAGCGCAACAGCACTGCGCAGCGGGCGAAGGTAGACCAATATCTCACCCAGAGCCGGAAGGTAACCTCATGAAGCGATTTCGTTTTACTGTATATTACAGAAGCAGCTAGGTTTCGGTTGATGCGGTGCTGACGCTACAGTGGAAGGGCGGAGAGCAGGGAGGGGGGAGGGTCGGTCAGAAAATATTTAGTTGATCAGCAAACGCGCGCGCGCGAAAAGGTCTTTGGCTTCGTTGCTGGGGAAGGGTTGTCGCTGAACGGTCATCGCAAAGAAACTTGACAGCTGTGGTTGCTATCGTAAAGCGATGGCGTGACCGCAGCGTCAGCTGTTTCACGCAATGTCATGGCCTTTGCTTAGACGTGTGCCGACATCACTTTTGTTAGGTCGATTTGTAGTCGGGCAGCCACCCATAGTCGAACCGAACACTTCTGAATTGAATTCGATTTCATGTCTTTCAATGTTTCCACATCGGACTGTGTCCACTGCCTGACAACATTGCCTCCAACAGTTGAAGCTGCGGTCACGCCATCGTTTTACGATAGCAACCACAGCTATCAGGTTTCTTTGCGATGACCGTTGAGCTGAAACCCTTCACCGCCAGGCCTCCAAAGACCTTTTCGCGCGCGCGCGCGCGTTGTTGGGGGGTCCGAGGCAGCAAAGCCGGGCTTCGGCTCCGGGGCTCCGGGGGGTCAGAGGCAGCAAAGCCGGGCTTCGGCCCCGGGCTGCTCCAGGCCGCTGCTTACATGTCGCGAGGCTCGTCTGCGGCATCTCACAAAAACGCTTTTTTTCGAAAATCAGAAGCATTTTCGAATGCTTCCACGATGACTGCTTTCAACGACAAAGCGAACTTGTGGTGCTCACACACCATCCTCTGCAAAGCAGCTAGGCACATCCCTAAGCAAGGTGCGAACTCCAGCGAAACAAACACTCAATGCAAACATAGCTGGATATCGATCATTAACGACCTTCAAGTGAAGAACTCTACATCATTTGAAGTTCTTCAACGACTTACATACGTTCCGAAACGAGGTCACAGCCATCCAAGCAACAACCACGCAGAATCAAAACGACGCCTTCGCAGAATCACTCTGTCACACCCCGCGGGCCCTCGACCGGACGAGCCTACCTCATTTGAGCTCCTCTGTCTGTTTGCGGCCCTCCCGAAGCCCGCTGGAAGATACCAAAATTTCGTGTTTGAGGGCGCCCGCGCGGGCAACGCAGAATCAATCTGATAACAGTTCGCGCGGACCCTGTAATCAAAAGGGTTTAGGGTTTAGGGTTTAGGGTTTAGGGTTTAGGGTTTTAGGGTTTAGGGTTTAGGGTTTAGGGTTTAGGGTTTAGGGTTTCCCATAGTAAGCGGCGCGCCTCGACCCAGAGGGTCGCGGGGCGGCGCGCCGAGCTGGACGCGACATCCCACCCCAAGACCACCCAGACATTGAATCTGTTAGGGTTTAGGGTTTTTCTTATGGGGTTTGGACGACGTACAACGTACCCTTAGCGTTGAAGTCTTGCTCATAAGCTTTCGTCGGGGGGCCGTTACCAGCGGTACTGAATGTTTGGTGGAGCGCAGGGCGCCGTCCGTACGGGCAGTTCTGGCGCCGTCCGTACGGGCAGTCGGAGCCGCCCGAACCGGCCGTCCGTACGGGCAGTGGGGTCCGCCGCCGCCCGTACGGGCAGGTTGCTGCCAAACCGGCCGTCCGTACGGACGGGCTTCTAAGGGTGTCCATCACTAAGAAGGCAAAGAAAGGGGAGCACCGTCCGTACGGGCAGTGTGGGGACAGTGGGGTCCAGTCTGCGGTCCACGCCGTGGTCTCCTTCATTAAGAAGGCAAAGATAAAGGAGCGCCGTCCGTACGGGCAATCGGAGCCGCCCGAACCGGCCGTCCGTACGGGCAGTGGGGTCCTCCTGCACGCGCCCCCGTCCGTACGGGCAGGCGGCTGCCAAAGTGGCCGTCCGTACGGCGTTGAAGTCTTGCTCATAAGCTTTCGTCGGGGGGCCGTTACCAGCGGTACTGAATGTTTGGTGGAGCGCAGGGCGCCGTCCGTACGCGCAGTTCCGGCGCCGTCCGTACGGGCAGTCGGAGCCGCCCGAACCGGCCGTCCGTACGGGCAGTGGGGTCCGCCGCCGCCCGTACGGGCAGGTTGCTGCCAAACCGGCCGTCCGTGCGGACGGGCTTCTAAGGGTGTCCATCACTAAGAAGGCAAAGATAGGGGAGCACCGTCCGTACGGGCAGTGTGGGGACAGTGGGGTCCAGTCTGCGGTCCACGCCGTGGTCTCCTTCATTAAGAAGGCAAAGATAAAGGAGCGCCGTCCGTACGGGCAATCGGAGCCGCCCGAACCGGCCGTCCGTACGGGCAGTGGGGTCCTCCTGCACGCGCCGCCGTCCGTACGGGCAGGCGGCTGCCAAAGTGGCCGTCCGTACGGACAGGCCTCTAAGGGTGTCCTTCACTAAGAAGGCAAAGATAGGGCAGTGGGGTCCTCCTGCACGCGCCGCCGTCCGTACGGGCAGGTGGCTGCCAAACCGGCCGTCGGGAGCGCCGTCCGTACGGGCCCGTCCGTACGGGCCGTCCGTACGGGCGCTTGGCGCGTACAGGGGCCCTGCATTTGGTGTACAGAAGAATACACGGCCGCTCGAACCGGCCGTCCGTACGGGCAGTTGGCTGCTTTTCGGAAATCTGGAAAACTGAAGCTGATTTTGGAGTATTAAATTCTTTTCATAAAATGTATATTTTAAGCTAGGCCAGGCGCCAATCTCGAGGTCCCCTCCTTTCTTTTCATGTGGCTACTCTAAACCATGCCCTCTCCTCCATAAGGAGACTGGGGCCAGCCTGTGAGCTGTCAGGGAGTACACACGCCGCCGTCCGTACGGACAGTTGGGTCCAGCTTCAAGACTTCACAAGCCAGTTAGGATCCCGACCCTAGGGTTTAGGGTATTAAAATATACTATTATTTATTTTCACGCTGGAAGCGTAAATGCACCCTCCGAAGTGAACGAATGCGGGTACGGAGCACGAAGCTAACTCTTCGCGCTCAAGCTGCAAGCATTAAGCATCCGTTCTTGAAACGGATGCCGGTGCTCAGCGCACGTGCGCTGGTGATGCCATAGGCTCCTAGACGTCGCGACAGGCATCACCAGCTTTAGTTTAGGGTTTAGGGTTTAGGGTTTAGGGTTTAGGGTTTAGGGTTTAGGGTTTAGGGTTTAGGGTTTAGGGTTTAGGGTTTAGGGTTTAGGGTTTAGGGTTTAGGGTTTAGGGTTTAGGGTTTAGGGTTTAAGGTTTAGGGTTTAGGGTTTAGGGTGTGTCCATCGTGTTCGCTCGCTCGGGTGTAAAGCACCCCGAGCCGCTCGCTCCAGCGTAGCTAAGTTTTTCCCACCCTCGCCCCACCCAGACTCGACTCTTTTAGGGTTTAGGGTTTCTACCCCCCAACCCCCCTATCAAGGGGGGTTACCCACAAGCGACTGCCAAAGCCAGCAGCGAAGTACGTGGTGGGGGCGTGCGTGTCTAGTTCAGACATAGGATGCGATAATGTCGTGGTGATGAGTAGATAAGGTTGAATTCTTGAGCTTAGTGTAGTTAGTCGATAGCTGCGTGATAATGTCGTGGTGATCAGTACATAAGGTTGAATTCTTGAGCTTAGTGTAGTTACTCGAGATAGCTGCGTGCCACCGTAGCTATCCTGAAGCGACTTCGCGTGCAACAATTAATTTTGCTTTGTTAAGAATAAATTAAATATGGCTCGCAGTTGCAGGAGCCGTTTCGGTAAGGAGGCATTAACAAGATATGGTTGGCTCGGAGGTCGCGCCGAGTGAAGCTGATCATGCCATAGAATCCTTTGGGGGAATGCAGGTACCTGCAGTTATATAGCATGATTCGATTCGGAGCGCCGTCTTCCAGCCACCAAGCCTTCGTTGAAAGAGGGTTGTCGCACGCAGTGAAACGTCTCTTCGGAGCCCGTCGTAACGGTAGCGAAGCATTTTGCCATTGAAGCAGACGAGGTTTTTTGAATCGAAAGGACGAATGTGCGCTTGCACGAGGCGTAACGTGAATCATCGTAAGCAGGGACAGACAGGAGAATAGCCGACATGGACGTGCAGTCCATGCAAGGGCGTTTTTTTATCTGGGAGCGAGGGTTGTGGTCTGTAGCCGGCTTGTCATGCGAAGCAGCTCTGGCACGCTTCACATCGCAGGTGTGAAATGGTGCGGGCGGATTTTGCCAGCGATAAGATAGTCCTCGTCATGTCGCACCCGACTCAGCGCCACATACCCCGCAGCCCGGCAGCAGGGCCGGTCAAGCCAAAGCGTAATATGCTTCAGCGTTTGCCCTTGTACCTTTTGCACGGTCGAAGCGTACCCCAGGCGGAGCGGGAAGTAGTCCACGTCGTGAGTGCCAACGCGCTCACGAACAGCGCTCACGGCAAGCCGCTTGCCAGTGTCGGTGAGCACGGTTAGACAACCACTACGCTCGTGATAGTCGAGTACCTTGCAACCCATGCCATTCACAAAGTCTTGTCTCTTGTTCAAGTTCTTGGTAAGGAACACACGCATGTCCTTGTACACCCTGGTGGGCATGGATTTTGGCGGAGCATCAGAGCACAAAGTGCCATCTTGCGTGTAGTTGCCTGGGTCCATTTCCCAATCGAAGGGCAGCTCTCCTAGGGGCGTCTGGTGCCGGTGCCTGAACAGCACATCCACCGCAAGATCGTTCAGCGTCTGCGCGCCCTTCCTGGTGCACGTGACCATGGATGTTGCGTAGTCTGTCCTTCGAAACACCTCGAGGACGTCGTAAGCAGTGGGCTCGGCGTCGGTCCAAGCGCGATGGGCTCGGTTGGCAATCTGTTTCAAGAGACGCTTGCTAGGAACAGCGGTTCGCAGAGCTGCAAGCTTCTTGGCCAGGCGCGCATCTTCGCAGCGGTGCATAGTGTTGAACATTATCTGCTTGACACCGTTCCATGCCTGGCTGTCTGACACTTTGCTCGGCGGCTGCTGCGGCCCGGGCAGCTGCCAGAAATCACCAAGGAAAACCATGCAGGGCAAGCGATCCGCTGCACGCCACATAGTGTCCAGACGATCGAAGTGCTCGCTGGTGAGCATCGACAACTCGTCCACAATGACCAGGTCGTAAGAGCTGAGGATGGGCAAGGCTTCGGAGATTTCTTTATGGAACAAGAATGCACCGTGGCATGTGTCCACATCGATATCCGGATGCAGGCGTCGCATCTGAGCGGCTAGCTGTCCCGTGGGCAAAGCGAAAAGAATGCGGGCCCCTCGCGCATGCCACCGCCGAATGCAAGCATGAACGGCACTAGTCTTACCTGAGCCCGGCGGCCCGACAGCCGCCAATATGCGGTTAGTATTGTGCGCGTCCAGAGCGATGTCGTCCAGCGCATCATCCTCTGCCGCTCGAGCGTCCAAGGATCGCTGCACGCTGAGATCGATCAAGCGCTGCAGGCGACGCTGCGAAGCATCGAGCACCAACGGCACGTCGCCGTCTGCCGGTCGCGGAGCTTCTGCCGCTTCCGCTTCCACCTCCTCGATGGCATCCCGCACATCTTCTCGGACGAGATCTCCTTGGAGGTAGCGACCGACGAGATGAGTTTGGGCACGCACGAGGTTACACACCGTCTCGATGTGGTCGCTGCTGCATGCTTCCAGTTGCATGTCCGCGCGGAGTTGGTCCAAGTTGGTCCAATAATCGGCACGCCAGTGCAACGCGGTGGCGAAAAGCTGATATCTTTCCGGGACCTTCTCTTGGATTTCGGGCACGAAGAAGTCGTCTAACTGAGCAAACGGGCAGTGCAGTGCAAGCCACTGGCCGTAGTATCGGTCTCGCAGGCGGGAGACGCAAGCGGCGGCAACAGCTTTCTCCCCACGAGCGGGACAGCTGCGTGCGAATTCCTCGACAGAATCGGCGCCAGCTGGCTCCGTCGCCTTGTGCTTGCGACGCACCCACTGCAGGATGGCGCCGACAGAATTGCTTTTCCGCAGGAAGTCCAGCAAGGTCATGCTCTCCCCTCTCCAGCTGCAAGTTTCGTAGCGAACGACAAAGTCCGGCTTGTGCTCCATGCCGGGGTAGGGCGCGAAGATATCCACCAAAGCGCCGCCGAAAGAAAATTGAGGAAACATGGCACCAGCAAGGCTGAGCCACATTTCAGGTTCGAGTGGGTGGTGGTCAAAGAGAATGCGTCGCGCCACGCTATAGTCTGACGCTTCGTCGTTCAACCAATCACCAGCAAAGCTCCCACTGAACTTTTGCTGGTACGTCGCGACGTAGCGCATGAGTGCACCGTGCCCGTCTGCCTGCAGGACGTCTTCATGGCACTTGCTTACCTGCAAAGCTTCAGGAAAATATGCGCGGACATGGCGGGCATGGTCTTCCTCGGTGTGGTGTAAGAGCACCTTCTGCTCTGCGTCGTCCCACGCAGAGGGTTCTTCTCGGATGTCCACCTTGCTGTTATTTCTGTCTAGCTGCGAGTCTAGGACGATGCCCCGCGTGATCACGGCTTCCGCTTGTTGTGGCACCGAGGCACTCAGCTTCTCGTGCAGTCGCACCGCACCGACGTTCTCTAGATAGTCCAAGGAGTGAGAGTGAACCGCGCCGCGCCCGTGGTATCGCTGGGTGCCGGTCTTTCGCTTTCCATCTTGAAACTCCAAGCGAGAAACGAAATTAAGCACGGTGTTAACATCCGAACCGTCAGCTGCGGCGAGGAGATGGTCTTTCCACTGTCGATCTCGGCGACCGACAGTGCGCCGGTTCATGCCGCTGAAATACCCGCGGTCGAGCTCCTTGAGAACATGAGCCATGTGAAGTGTCTCCGGCCCTGCGAGCTCCAGTCGACCGCGTCCGGCCAGGGCCATCTCGTGGAGAACCCACATATGGTATGGAAAAGAGCGTTCATAGGGAGCTCGCGTCCGAAATAAGTGAGGCAGGCCAACCTGACGCTGAAGGTCCAGCAAGGCCAGATGCCGAGTACGCCAATATTCCGGCGACCACGACGCCTTCTTGACGGCCAGGCGCAAAGGGATACTGCTCGCCGAGTTCTTCGTTCCGCCCAGAGAGCTCCACATAACCAAATCATACACGAAATGCAAAAGCTCATAGTCCTCGGAGTATCCCACGATGGGTCCCAGAACTTTGTTCAGGAAACTGCGGCGTACACTGTGCCGGCCGGCAGCAGAGGCGAGCTCTCCGGCACTGTCTGCGGACGCAGAAGACGCGGAGTCTTCGTCCGAGGTGGCGCAGCCTGCGTCTTCCTCGCCGCTGGACATGCAGGCCCTCGGCCGGACCGGCCGCTGCCGGCGCACGTCTGTAAGGCGAACAACTGTTTCGCAGAGGGACGTATCCCAGTATAGGTGCGGCCACAGCGCGCACTCCAGGGCTCGTTCCTCCAGAAAGCGAAGCGGCCGCTTTCGCACCTGCTCCGCGGCGTCTTCGTGGGTAGTCAAGAAGCGGCGATGGCGTTCCACGAAGTCAGCGTAAGCCGAAGTCGACCGGCCCTGCTCCGATTCTGTCAGATAGCGAAATGCCCGCTTGGCCTGCTTCCGCTCCCGCGCGTGCGACAGCTGCGCGATCTTGGTTTCGACGTCTTTGGCGGCCCATGCAAACCGGACCATGGATGCATGGACGCGGTAACCGTGTGGAGCTCGCTCATAGTTGCCAGTGTCCACGTCCAGTGGCCGCAGGGCTATCACCACGTCTGCAGAGAGTTCGCGCAAAGGTTCGGGCACATCACCTGGCTGCGGCACGCGCGCACCGCGCCGGCACAGAATGCAGGTCTGGACGGTGGGCTGGGCGACGCGCCGTAAATCTCCCGGTTGGAAAGGACGCGGGCGCACACTGTGGCATTGACGACATATGCGCCACGAACCAAGCTTGCACCATTGCTCCGCCATTTTTGCTCGCTCAGAGATATCGGGTGCCGGAAGACCAGAGTCATTGAAAGCGACGTCTGCAGCAGGCGGTGCGAGTGCCAGCTCTTCGGCTACATTTGCTTCAGTATAATGCCGGCTGAGGTGTTGTGGGCAGAAAAATTTCCGTCGAACTAGACCGCGATCTCTTCGCACTTTCACAGTGTGCGCTGCAGCTGCGCGACGGTCCAGCGCACCGGCGACGCGCTGGCGAAACTGGAGGGCTGTCCGCCACTGGTCGACGGCCGGCGAAGAAGTCGTCTGGCTCTTGCGTTCTGCTCGCTCGACACGTGCGGCAAAGTCCGAAGCAAAATTGTCACCCTGACGTTGGCGGAGATTGCACAAAGCTTCCTCGTACTTCTCGGAGCTTAGAGCCTTAAGTTGTCGTAAAGTCTTGGTGACTTGTGCTCCACGTTGGTGCGCCAGTACATGGTCCAAGGTCGTGTCGCTGCAGAACAAGCAATGGGTCTGCTTCCTGAAGGGCTGCACTGTTGCTGCCTGCCCTAGCGCTAAAGTGGAAAAAGTACATTCGCGGCCTTGAGAGCCTTTGCAGCGTTCGGAGCTTTTCGGCACGCGTTTTGCTGCAGCAGGTCGTCGCATCGGTTGAGAGGCGAGGGCGCCGGCCAATGCCAAGCCGGGTCCGATGGGTTGCTCCAGTGCATCGAGTGCTGCAGGGCGGCGCAGCACACCACCCCGACGTTTGGCTCGAGGCGCTTCTGCAGCATGCTGCCGGGGGCTGTCGTCGCTATCTGAGTGAGGTAGTACCGGCAGATCCCATGCTCTGTTTTCTTCCTGAAAGTGAAGTTCAGGGTCAGGGTCAGCTTGGCCAAGCTTGGCCGAAGCGTCTATGTCGTAGTCTGCGGAAAGCAGCGGCACTTCTTCTACCTCATCCGTGGATAACTGGTCTGAAGCTGACTCCGAATCGGGCGGGACGTCGTCCAGGACAGCCGCGGCGGCTGGCGTCGCCACCGCGTCCTGGCCCAAGGCCTCGCTGCGTTCCCGTAGCGCCGCCAAGATGTCCTGCCGATGCTCCTCTGGGATCCTGTTTACAGCTTGACGAAACGCAGCTTCTGCGGTCTGTAACTGCAGCAGTGAGTACACCAAAAGCTTCTTCAGCTGCGGGCTGGCGAGGCGGCGTCCAAGCTCTCCGGGGCTGCACCAAACACAGCGACCATCAAATTTGCCTTGTGCTGCTTCTCCAGGCGCTCCAGGATGAAAGCAGCAGGAGACCGTGGACCCGTCAGGCTGCGGGAACCCACTGCATCTGCGAGGCGCCATCGCAAGCTGAGGGTCTTACAATATCCCCGCACAGGGTGCGTGAAGACTTGAGCACAATGAAGAAGCAGCGTCGGGCAGCAGACGGACAAACCGATTGCAGGCGCAAAAAGTAATTGCTAGGCAGCACAGGGCTAAGTCGTACAGGCGTCGGCTGCTACAAGCAGGAAGTGTTTGTGAAGTAATATGATCGAATCCAAGGTAAGTAGATAAACCTACAGCATACAGACGGCGTTGCAAAAGGTTCGTGCAAATGAGAGAAAGTCTTGCTGGAAGCAAAATATTGCGGAGCAACAGGAGTAGTATACCTAGACACACAAATTAAAACGAAGAATAGAAAAATGCGACGATCTGTATATGTCTCAGTATGAGCCTGGGAGTCGTTCCAGCCTCGCCAAATATTGGGGAGAAATAGGAGTACGTACACAGATATATATATATATATATACAAAGTAAGACTAAGAATAGCACTAGGAAGAATGCTAGGATGTGTATATGTTCAGTATGTGCCTGGCAGTCATTCCACCCTCGCCGGAGGGTGACGA